GATTATTATTACACACAGTTTGAAAACCAGTTATGTTTTATGAATGTATGAATGCGTATCCTTATGTATATTTGTATGTGTATTTAAGTTTAACTTTGTATCTGAACGACAGCCCAAATAAATAATATAGGGGAACGGAAACTTATGGAAGTCGTTAATAAAATCATTTGACCAAGTTATTTTGTTTTCTTTCTTCAATGGGTGCCAAAAGAGAGCTGGTTGGTTTCTAGTACCAGTAATTAATTGGTGATCAATTGTATGATGTTATAGTTATAGTTTTTTTTAGTTTTGTAAACTATGGTTTTTATTGAATTTATAGATAAACTATCACGCATTCCTGTGTTATACATATAAATAAAAATCTGAACAGAAATGCAATTCGGTCACATGGAACGCACATATCTTCTAACTCTATTAGAAGCATCATAGAGTGAATCCCATTCAGCATCGCAATATATAAGCTTATAGGCATATCAGTATTTTTTTACTTTCCTAATTTTTTATTTACTAATATCTTATTATATTTATATCTAAAAAATTTATATTTCGAAGAACATTTATTTAAGCTACATTTTATTGAGGGGTTTTTTATTCAGTTATTCATATAGTGACAAGGTCATAAATAAACAAAATTACAATGCAGTGATGGGCGAAGTGAGCATGTGATCTTCGGATAGTATTTCTAAATTCATGAAGTAATAAAAAATACCACTGCTATATAATACTTTCATAATTTGATTTACATTTATTGACCTTTCATGGCAAATGATTTTTAAGAAAACTGTAGCATTCCTTCCTGTTGTTTGTGATGCAAAAAAACCTATTGTCATACTGCACATTCTCATATCATGGAATATTAGTGTTTTCATTTTTATTATAAGTATATCAAATTGTGTTTTAGAAGTCACTAAAGGTGGCGTTGGGGTCCAGTAGACCCCAAGTGTACGAGAAGGGTTAATTAAATTATTGCAGATTATTTATGTAGTTTCAATTATAGCAATCAATTATAGAATGAAGGCTAGGATGCTAGACAAAACGTATAGATATGGAATGAATTTTTTAAAGAATCATACAATTTTGATCTTATCATATTCGTCCGGAAGTATAAATTTAAAGTCCTCGCGCTGTACCATCTAATTTTTCCTTATGTCTCAAAACTGAAATAGTGTCGATTCTATTTGTGAAATAGGAACCTGGATCATAAAAGTGTCGCGATTAATACGAGATAGATTACGTTTACCGAAATTCTCTCGGGCGCGCGGTGTAGGGTTACTTCGTTGCGTCGTAAACCGATTCAAGTGGATCGTGTTCGGCACGGTCGTTAAACTAATTATAATATTGGTCGCTCACTAGTGTTAATGTTATTCGATATCTATTTACGAGATTTTTTTAATGTTTCAACACCATAACGTACAGAATTAGTACCATTGTGGATTGTATTCCAAACACAACAATATAAAAATCCATGCTGCACGACCAAGACTGGCAACCGACACCTAAATTACTCATACAATTATTTGTTAGATGAAGTCACTTATCGATTTAACTGCTACGATTTTTTCCAAACCCGTATTTTCAGTGCAAATTATATTGCTATATCTAATGATAGGTCCAGCGGAGGCGTAATCAGTTCGGACGTGGGTTAGCACAAACTAGAACCGGGTTCGATGGTTCGAAGTCCGATCAAGCAGAGTTGATGTCAAAACTCCCCTTGAGGTTATAGATCTCAAATCTGGATTGGACAACTACTGGGCTGTCAAATTGGATTCACCAGTTTTTTTTATATAACCTCTATAAAAGCTTACATGTGGGAGGGCGAGGTAAAAAGAACCAATTAAACCTTTATCCTGGCAAAGGTATAAACAATAAAAAAAAAGTAAATGAAAAAGTGAATTAAGCTAAAAAAAGCAATTTTACAAGATATAAGTTAAATGAATAGTTGTTCCATCTCTAGTGAATATTCCTGACGAAATACTAGATCAAGGTTATATGCAGTGTTATCTTTGTAAAAAATGTACCCATGAAATTTATATTTTGCATTGGTTGAATAATGTAGATATTATTTCGTAAAATTCTTTTAAAATTAAAAATGAGGCATTGGATCTGTTTGCCCCCTGGCTGTCCCATTTCACCCCACGTATGGGGTAAAAAGGGGCAGATGACAAATTTTAGAAAAGTAGTAGAAAACACATTTCTATAATAAGGAATTAACTAGAAATTTTGCTGAACACAGTACGATAGTTGTTTGTTTGATCTGTGTTACGTGCTGTGATGTAGTTCATTTGGTTTATATACTATAACTACTTCAAATTGTCAAAATTGTCAAAATTGTCAAAATTGTCAAATTGAACCTTTGTGCCTCGCTCTACATTACATACATTTTTGCCTCAAAACAGATATTTACATATATTTGTCACTACAAAACACTTTGCAATATACGGTTATAGCTATACAGGATTATATTTTTTTTTAAGTTTATGGATGAGAAAAAAAAATCATTTACATGTGTGTGTATATTTTTGATGCGTAAAATCATTTGTCGGTCATTTAAAGAAAAATTAGACTTATGTATACAGCAGTAGCTTAATTTTACAGTGGCTAGGTATTAAATACCGAGACAGAATTAGCATCTAAATTGTTTTTTTAAACATTCAAACATTTCTAGAACGAAGTGATGACGCAAGGAGATTATTTAATAAAAATTATTCTTCTATGTGGACATTCCGCGAAAATACTAATTGATGAAGATTTAAATATTGATTTGATAATAAAAAAAGTAAATTGATTGATTATTTTTGCATATTAAAAAATATTATTTACGTTAGATTCTAAAATTCCAGATTATAAAATAATATAAATGAATAAATATCTGTTTGGTATTCAAATATGATTTTGGATTTTCGACAAACGACGGGATAAAAAAGCGACAAGATTTAAAATGTAAACTTTTTAAAAATCGTTTCATGTTTCTCCAGTTTGTTCCGCAATTAATTCCTCGACCAGGTAGGTATATGCCGACGTAATGTTATTCGCAAATGCAAAGGTTGACGCTCCGCAGAATTCAAAGTAATCTGCAATTTATTTTAGCAACACAAATGAACTCGTTGTGGTTGAAGTAAAAATAGAGTTATTCATCTTAGTTGATCTTGCATATAATGTGTTCTAGGTGTTGATTTATAGAAGCACGTAGGCCAGATCGTTAAGGAACATTTGAGACTCACATACAACAATGAACACGTTGGCTAAGAACCAAATATTTCATATAATATTTGTGAAATCTTGTAGTCTAACTGGAAAAACTTCGATAGTTTTTTTTGTCTAAAACTGTTATGTGTAAAATATTCATTACACAAAGGTTAATAATTAAATATACCAGTTATCATTCCAAATACCAGACGCATTACTTCAAACGAGTATTTAATGGATCAATTATTTTCGTGCATATGCCACGAAAAAAATTACAAAAAAATAATGGACAGAACGTTAATAAGAAATGTAAAAGCGCGCGCTGCATTAATTATTATTTTTGAAGTTTACAAAATGTACGGACAATGTGATAACAATTAACATATGCAAATGACTTTGTAAACCGAAAAAAGTATAAACTCGTACGTATACATATTTTTATAACTTCATAAAAAATAGGCATCAGGAACACATTAGCATGATTAGGTTATTAATATATGCACATGCATACTACATACTAATTTATTTGAATATTAAAATTTCAATCATGTCTTTTAGATTGAGAAGACAACAATATGATCGCATCAACAGTATTTGCGGTTTTAAAAAGTTTTACTCTTTACTAAGCACTAAATTTTGTGCTGCTTGATCTCTGAGGCAATTTCTTTAATATTTATTAATTGTGCTTGCAAATATTACGATGCAAAAATTCCTTGGTATATTGGAATATGTGATAGTACCTGCGTAGAACATGATTTCATCAATATTATAAACATATTGCTGACAAAGTGAAAATCTTTATTTATCAAAAGTTTACTTAGAACTGTTCACCGGCTAGAAAAAATTTTTTACTATATTTTTCTAAGTTCTAATTTTATTACTACAAAATGTGTAAATCATTTAAAAAAACGTTGATTCCCGCCGGTCATTTTCGAAATGCGATATTTTCTTCATCTTGGGGGTGCTTTCTATTGTATCCGTATTATATGATTGATGTTAAATTTGGATGCTATCTTTTGAAAGTAACTTGATCTTGGTTATTAGAGTCGTTTCCCCAATATTTACGCCGTACTCGCGCGAGATCTAATTATGTGCCTTTGAAAACGCACGGCGCGCACATTTTGGAAATCATCACATAACATTTTCAGTGATAGTCAATACGATAATTTTAAGAGAAACATTTATTCTGTATTTTATGCAAACAGGTTTCTTTATTTATTTACTTCCATGATGCGATTTGACCTCCTTCCCAGGACAGCGTTTTCCCTGACGTAACTGATTTGATCATCTTGAAATCGTAAAACTGAATAGAATTATAAAATTCTGATACAGTTAAACTATTAAACTGTAAATACTGTTTCCTGCTATCTAGACATAATAAAATTATCTCTGTAAACCAATTGAAATCTAAAAACGAACCACATAATTATTGGAGAAGTACAAAAAATTTAATGAGTCAATTTAATAATGAATTTTAGTTTCCAAGAAACCCCGAACCCCAAAAAGTGCTGAGATATGCATCTAGTTCCTAAGTAATGATCAATAATCGCACCAACCCCTAAGTCCAACGGGAGTGCATCAGAGTGATGTTATCCCTCTAGTAATTACAGTAAAACACAATGGATGTAGCCTGGTTTTCTAATAAAATAATATTAAGGGTGAGTTAAGGTGATAATATAATAAAGGGACCATCCATATATGGATGAAATATTATATGCATTAGCGCAAGGGCGGACGATAATCGCGCTTCTGAAATTTGATTACAAAATAATCGGGAAAAGTAACACTTGGAGACAAAAAGAAGTTCCACTTACCAATGAGTCTACTTCTGGGTCGGCTATGTAGTAGGGTTTTTCTTGGCGGATCTGAAAAACAAATGAACAAATTAGTAACAAATAATAACATTTAACATTAATATTATAATTTATAAAATCTCTGGATCGAAGCATGAATTTTAAGCGAAAAAATATGTTGGCAAATAACGAGAAATCTTTGTGTGGATATTGGTGAGATAAGTACCTAGTTGTTTATCTACCATGCTTTCTGACAACTCTGCAAATATTAGATTTTATCTCATATGCTGTTTGTTATTAAATAAAACGTATACATACGCATATTTACACACATACAACGCATATAATATAATAACAATGAATTTTGTGGCCAAAGACAGGTTTGTGATCTAAGTCAAACCACAACTAGAATTAGGATGGTACGAGATTTTTTTATTAAATTAATAACGACCATTTTAAATACTTTTTAATCAAATAGAATAAACAATAAAGTTTGTCAAAAATATGCCAATATATTAATAATTTAACAAAACGCATTCCCATTCTTCACTATTGTTTTTTTTTAACTTTTATTTATATATTATATTATATGTTTGTTTAAGAACAACTAGCATCGGTTATAATTAAATGCAATAAAACAATTTTCAAAATGATTATTAATTATACATGTATTCATAAAAACTAGATTACAAGCAATAATTAAATCTAAAATATAGAAAATGCAATAAAAATTCCTTATAAACTAAAAGAATGTCGAGAATCCACTGTTGATGAGGTATAATTATTACATTTTTCATTTTTAGGTTCATGATAAATCGCTTAGCATCTAACGGTTCAAAAAATCAAATCAAATTTGAGAACGGGCAATGAAAACGTAATTTGGGCGTGTGATGAAGTCCGTAACGTTTAGTAAGAAGTATTTTGGTCATTAAATCAGAAATAACACATTAGAGAAGACTGCACGTGGCAAGAACAATAATAATAATTTATTTATTTTATAAAGTCTTGTCGAAAAAAAAAAATTAAACTGGGACTCGCAAAAACAGCTTTGAAATCAGTGGCTTGATATTAATTAAAATTTTAATGTGTAATTATTATAAAATGCAGTTTTAGAACCCAATAATTTTCGAAAATTATTTATACACCCTTTTAGTATATTTAATGAATTTGGTGTATCTAGGGTAGCAAAATGGTTTTATTTTTCTGCACATGGTAATTTTGAACAGTCATGATGTTAAACATACTTAATTCGTAGTAGAGCATGACATGACACTTTTAGCCCCTTATACTCGTGTTGACGTGGTTAGAAAATATTTATACATCAACCCTCAACTTTATCTTTGCCCTCTGTATATATAGACCCACAAACACACACACACACACACAGATATATATTATATATATATATATATATATATATATATATAATATATTTAAGTTAATAACAGGTTTATAATTCTCTCCGATGTCAATCATCAAACTGCTGATCCTAGCATTTATCACTTTTCAAGAAGAAATAAATTTGTCGAAAAACCACAAAACCGCTGCCACCAGTAATCATCCAAGCCAAAGAGGTCTTTGAGCGTTTTTGGTAAAATTAAATACCTTTTTGCGATTGTATTATATAAAACGATTATATATTTTATGGGTTCCCCGAAAAAAATGTAAATCCAATGTAGATTTAGATCCAATGAAAATCGACGACGAAAATTATGTGATCGTGATGAATGACCTAATGTGTGTGAAAAGAAAATTGCTTTAGAATTTAAAAAGCACAGTATGGTTAAGTTGATGGATAAAAAGTATGAAGAGTGTGAAGAAGAAAATTGAAGATCAAGTTTCAAGAAAATTGACGGAATTTGGGTCAGAAGTAAAAAAAAGTACATTCTTCCAATTTATTTTATAAAAGTAAATTTTCTCATGGTTTTGTGAAAGCAAATGTGGATGTTTCACAGTTTTGCTAAAAACATAAGCAAATTCACAAAGGTCGTATTATGATACTTCGATAAATATATATTTAATAAACTTCATGATGACTTAGAATGACCAATTTCCAAATTTGCGAAGAGAATAAAAATGATCAATAATTTAAGGAAAGCAGTGTGTCCGTCACAACGCCGAAAAACAATCTCCTGCAAGACAAATTGCCCGTTCCATTCTGACATATAATTAGCAATCCTGGTCTATGTTATAGGTTTCTATTAGGCATCCCTCGATTTTTATTATAGAGTAGGTGTACGTGTTAACCTCATGCCGTGTATGATTATAATTCTTCTGGGACACACCCAAATAAGGGCGATGTTTGCCGTCAAAAGTGCTAGTTAATTCTTCTACCGTTTCAGATATGATTTATTGTTAATCCGGCGCCGCAAATGATGAGCGTCAACTTGTCTCGTGGAACGACTACCGGATTAAAGGAATCCGGGATGGAATAAGATCCAGTCGAATGCAAATATAAGGTTCCGTATTATCATAAAACAAATTCTTTTGATAACTTTCATCATACAGTCTTACAAATAACATTTGAATACTATATTCCATACTTAGTACTCATTTTACAGCCATCTAAATGGTAAAGAACCAATTTGAATTGTTGCCTTATGGTTTAATTATATGAAATATAATTAGAGTTTTTAGGTTTAATTATATAAATATAATTATTTATTTCCAACTTATATAAATAACTTAGATAGTTGTCTAACAATTACAAAAAATGTGCAAATTTAAATAAAAAATGTGAATATCCCTCTTTAACTATTGCCGAATCATTAAAATACGTTTATGAAACGTAAATGTTATGTACAGTATCTGAGTCGACCCATCAGCAGATGGAAACAAGTCCAGTTTTACGTAAAGCAGTGACGGTAAACTTAATGTCAAGCACGAGTCACAACTAAAAATGAAACATATTTTAGAGTAGAAATTTAGTTGTCAAAAATATGGTACCAAAATTAGAAATGTATAGTTGCCTGTTAGATTCAGTCCACGATAGAGAATACTATCTCTTACAAGGAGAACCTCAGGTTTACTCTTCTGGGATTTTGATGAAGCTTGGTGATAGAGTTGTTATTCAAACCGAAGTTTAAAATATTATAGGCCTACGGGAAGTAATTTAATTTTAAAAGTTTTGAAAAATAAACCTCGAGCAAAACGTATGCCTACTGTGTTCATTAGCACACGATAAGCAAATGAGAAGTAGTAATACGTGAAATACATAAAACACAAGCAAATCAGAATAATAGTTTTTAGTTTAAATTCTGTAAAATAGCAAAAAATGTCCAGCAATATTATTTGTTCAATGGGTTCCGTACAATCGCCACCAGTGTTTCAAGGGGTGTTCTGGGGCGTGCTGTTCTGCAATTGACAGGTTGACAAAGAACAAACGCCCCCTCTATATCCACGAAAAGCAAAACAGCATTCTTTTCGAGGATTCACCATTCGCCCCAACATGAAGCAACTTTATAGCAACATCATGTAGAAAATATATATACACACAAGAATTTAAAATTTCATCTGTTATATTAAAAATAAAACTGACAAAGTATAAATATCATAGTGAACTTTGGGAAGGACATTCCAACGTCATGGTGTCAGACTTAAGGCAGTCTCAAAATTAACCGCAGAATTCTGCGGTAAGACATTTAATTCCTGCTCAGAAATTTTGACTTCAAACGATTTTTTATAAATAACACATTCCTAAGATGCAAAATACAAGGAATTGGGAGTGACAAGAATTGATCATGACAAACTCGGAATGTCGATTTAATTTTAAAATGTTAAAAAAAAACAAAGCAAATCAGTAGATCCATTTTTTTTTTCAAAAACATAATAAAACTATTATAATAAAATATTTAATGCGCGTGCAAAAATTTTAAGCATTTAGGAGAAATTTTTAATATTTCCAAATTAATCTAGAACTGACTTACATATGCAAAATTATTTTCCTTTATCGATATTAAAAACTGCACAAGTATGTTACCAAAAAATATGCAATTATTATAGATGAGCAATACAAATGCATAACAATTGTGATATCGATCATGACATGCGTAATTTGATTGCTTTGGAAACAACCAAATGTACTGATGAGTTAACAGAATTCGCGTCTGAAAGAATTAGACCCTTTCCTGGTTTATCAGATCTGAATCAAATATTTGTTCGATACACAAAATATAGAAGAAAATAGACTTAAGCCTTTAGCAAAGATTACTATTTTGAAAAATGGACTTAAAAACCGTAATTTTTTATTTCCCCTGTCTATTTATAAAGTTGCGAACACTCTTGTCAAGACCCATCCATCCAGTTTCGTTCACCGGCAAAGGTCATCACATGCAGAGTCATTTTTTATAATTTTATAATTTCAACGATTCACCGTGGAATGCCATAATTACATATTAATACCAGAATGCAGTGTGCCGTTTAAAAGATATGTGTGGATATATATTTTTTTAGTTTTAGATAAACTGTTGAGAATTCACTTATGTAATCGACAACTTACTATTTTTATAATTTATAAAAACAAATTGGATTTAATAACATAATTGAGTGAAATAGAATCACTATCATAAGCGCAAGCTTTGTCGTTGTGTGATGTTATGATTTATTATCAGCAAAAAACTGTTTGCAAAAACATGAAATCTAATTAGTTGCAATAAATAAATTGAAAATTTGGTTTGCAAATTTATACATGCTAATCGGACGAATGATTTGCCGTGGTGTGCGTGCTTTGGTAGTCAAAAAGCTTTACAAAACATAAATAGAAATATTATGGGATAAGCTTGCCTTATTATCTTACTAATCTTCTACAAAAATATAAAATAGCAAGGATAAAAGTAGTAATTTTGGTACATTTAGGTAATGCCAACTTGGAATTTACAGTAGATACATTTACAAATTATTTCTTCTAACAATAAATAAGTAATAAGACAAAAAATATAGCTTATCACATGATAGGCCTATAAATTTTAGCAATTATATAGGTTTAAATTAGCAGTGAAGGAATGATATAAACGAGATCAAATGTATATGAAAGATTCAAACGATCAAATTATGTGTAAAACTAGTAGTGCATC